AGGATCGTATGTGCCTTTGCGCCTTTGAGAAATTTGTCGCGTTAGTTTTCCGGTTGCTGACTTTTGTGTGGTTTTTCCTGTTTCATGTGCACTATGTACCCTCATTTACCGAGACACTCATTTAGGTGGGAGGGTCGTACTGACACACTCTCCCTCTCTCTCGGAGGGAGGGGGGTCGTACCTTCACCACCACCACACATCACGATGCTGTACCCTGGTTCCCAATAAAGTCCTCTTCTAGGGTGATGGCACATCCTGTCGTTCCGGAAAATTTTGGAATGAAAATTTGGAATTTTTGCAAAATACGCCTTTTCTCTTTCCAGCGACCAAATATTTATAATCCTTTCGGTAGGGATGCGCAACATGCAACGTGCCCTCAAGTAGAGCAGAGCATAGTTGGGTTTAATCCGTCGAGTAGTCACTACTAGCTTCAATAGAAGAGATTTTTGGGTTGCTGATTCTCCCATTCCAAAGCGTGGTACGTAAAACTCTCCGACCTGTCTTATATAAGTTTAAGTCGAGAAGTAAGTAAGATTTGGTGGGATGGTGGGTAGATTACGAGTGGGGGACCGGAGGACAAAGCTTGGGGGGGGAGCCGTGGGTGCAGTAGCTGTGACAGCACTGTTCTATCTATCGTGATGCTGTATCCTATCTGCCTTACACGCATGGTCGGTCGTTCACTGAAAAGCGAAAAAATCCTCGTTTCACGGGTTTTTGCACTATCGGTTCCGCTTCTTTACAGCATTACCTCGTCCTTCTTTGTTCTCTCGCTATTTTACCCCTCCACTTTCGTTAATGACCAGCGAAAAAAGTGACGCTCCTAAAGCGTTTCGTTAACGCGGCTCTATTTTTTACACAAATAATCGAAAAACCTAACACGTGACGAAAAAAATTCAGCCAGTCACCTGCCCTTCTCTTCAACTTGTCCACAGGACACTCATGTGATATGAACAGATAAGAGGGAGAGACTGTAGAGCTGAAGGACAAATATTCGCGAACTCGTTCTTAAAATGCCATGGTCAGCGCGTTCCGTACGTTGGGGATGCAAGGGGCTCGTAATTGGTCGCTGGAGGAGGGGCCATGCTAGCCACTGAGACTGAAAGCTTGGCGTCAGCCATCACAACGGGTTGGAAAGGATCATTCGGAGTAGAACTAGAGAGAGGGCGGCTGGACGATCATTTTCCTCGTCCAACTAAGAGGTTATTAGGCCTTTCATGGAAGCATGCAGAACAATAGAATTCCTGGAGTACGTCACATATTGATTTCCCACTATGGATCTGATTCTCCAATGGAAAATCCATAAATCTTTCCAATGCCTATCTCACAGCGTCACAGTGGCTGCGGTGTAACCCATACCGGCAGACAGGTTGCTTCAACAAACTGTCGCCGATGGCGGTGAAGTCAGCGCCGAAACTTTCACTGAGTAGCGCCACTAGCGAGGGGAACTAAAACATGTTTGAGCGGCCGTGAGGCTTTTTTAGTTCGGATCCCCTTTGTGGATTCTGTGCCTATTGATTGATTTCAGATGCAAATCTTGGTCACACGAAAAGATGGCGGAAATCTACTGACTGCGGGCGATCTCGATGAGATCTATGAAGTGCAGAAGGTTAGCTAAGAAGCATTTGAAAATGATTTTTCGGCATATTGCTGTTTCGAAGTGGGGCGTAATTCGGCTTGGTAGGGGCATTTGGCTGGTTCCCATCAATCACTGCCTACCTCGAGCGGGGAGACCTGTAAATTCCTGTAAAGCTGTGAAGTAGCAGAAGCTTCATATGCACTTGACGGGAGTCTACAGGTCTTATCAAGGTGAAGCAAGTAATTCGACTGGAGCTAGCAAACGAAACTAGCGAAAATGTAAAATGTATCCCCTCCAAGCCGAACAGCGTTCAAAATGGAATTTTTCAAATTTTACCATGAATATTTAGTTTATCTCTGAGAACGTCACAGCCTCAGATGGCATAAAAGAGTTCCACTATAGTGACGTCTGTGGCGTTTATTGCGATGACAGTAACGGCGCTGTTATTGCGGTCTTGCAGGTGAGTGTCCCATTAATTGCGCATGCAGTTGGGAGACGGTCAGGACAATCGTGGTTTTTCGCGCCGTCGCGCGCGGCGTATCATGCGGCGTCGCCGATAAATTGTCGATGACCGTCAATACCTCAATAGGAGCAGCGAAACTCCTACGATGTTAAGCGGAGGCATGAAGACTTGACGGTCGATAACGAATTTTTTCATCCATTCGAAAGTACGCAAACGGCTATACAGTACTACTCGTCCGTCGCTTGCGACGCCGCTCGGCACACCCACGATCGCGACATATTACGATTGTCCTGTCGCGTACCTCATGGAGTTGGATACGCTGAGTCCTGCAGTCTTACTGAGAACATGTTTTCAGACTGCTATCGCCGCCTCCGATGGATTGTCCTCAACGAGGCTGACCTACCCGAACGCTGAAGCTTTTCAGGTCAGTGTTAGCTCAGTAATACTCTGAAGGGGGGGGGGGGGTAGCGAAACTAGATACAAAGTGCTTGCCAACCAGGTCAAGCCGTGCACCAAGGACTTGGCCAAACATAGAGTTAATAGGATTCGACTCCACCACTCAAACCTGTAAGGGGCTAGGGAACTCATTTCTGGGGGTGGTAACCCTGAAAAATGGTGTCTAATATTGAGAAGTGTTTGATATCTTCTGCGCTATTTGAGAACCCTCTGCCCTCTCTCTGGATTGCTTGGAACCTCAGTCGGCGTGAATTAAATCCCAAGCAGGTTTCATAGTGTTTTTGTTGTGTAATCTCCAATAATTACTGCTAACAAATCGTTTTGTCCCCGATGAATGCCGTAGAAAAAAAGCCAGCTGAACCGGCTCAACTGCATCATCCAGCAGTGCTTTTGCATAAACCCCATCCATAATCTCTGGCAAAATTTCATGCTAGTTGAGTCACTGGTTTTATCTAGTTCTATAGACGACTATGAAGGGACGATCCCACGAGCTATCCAAGGCGTATTGAAGAATTTTGAGAGGAGAAAGCTCTATACTATCGTTTTCAGAAACGAGTTTTCCTTGGTTTCTCGCTTGGAAATCTTACCTTCCGCAAGGAACAACCTGACGAGGTCGAAGAGGCACACGGCTTCTCCTACTCCACTACATGGTAAGATTTGTCACTCGACCCATTTTTCATAGGCTTCCAGGTCATGGCGTAAGCGTCGAGAAAATCTTTGTCTTTTTCAAAAATCTTAAGAGTGAGAAGTGGAACTTTTTTTTGCTACCTGTTAGAAAATCTTTTCCATGAGCTTTCAGTGAATTTTTCTTGAATTCCGAATTTCACCACCCCAAAAACTCCTTTCCTTTCGAAAAATTCATTTTTTCTATTTATTTAGGTCTCTATAGAAACGAAAGCGCTATCTTGGCGCAACCCTACCGTAACCCGTGTGATTTTGCGCACCTAATCACATTTTCTGCGTACACAGAACGCACTAATCTGTTTTTCAACGACATTTTCAGGTCGACACTTCTTTGCCAAATGGGAGAGTTTTGGCGGCGAATTTCGAACAAAAACTTCATCGTGTGTTCACCGCGTTGACCGAAACGTCATCGAAGTTCGCCTTTTCAATGTTGAGCAGAAATAGGGAGATCTCAGAGCAGAGGTACTGAATGTTCACTCTTTTCTAGGTCTGGAACAAAGACCCTTTCCTGAAAACCACGGCCTCACTGATGTTGTGGGGGAGGGGCATTGAAGAGCTCTTTTTGAAATTGCCCTTGTAAGGAAGGGGTCGCTGTACTTGAAATCGGTCAACCTACCCAGTAGCTCCTTCTCGTCTCCTTTCCCTCCCCCCTAAGAAGAATAACAGCAATTGCCACATTTGCTACTTTCAGAGCTATTACGCTCACTGCCTTGCCATTTCTTGGCCTTACCGCAATGGTGTTGATTGGTTTCATGTTCATCACTCTCATCGACTTTCCACTGTACCGAAGTCAGTACATGGAGGTAAATTTGTTTCAATTTTGTTAATTTCAAAATGCAGCGCAGAGACAGTGTTACCTCTAGGGTACGGTGAATTACAGTATCTTGGAGACACACTTCTTGCCCGTCTACTACGATCCTATAAATGCTGGCTGACTCATTTGAACTATGCTCCAACCACGTCCAAACCACACAGTGTCTTTTCTTTCACTACTGGTCAGCATGAATTAGTTCCATGGCGAACTGTTGTGATGTTTGATGGGAGAACTGGTTGGTAAAACGTTCCGCGTAGTAAACAGGTTAACAATTCTAGCAAATAAGTGCAAGTAACATCGGAATAACAGTCAAATGAGAAGGTGTGGTCACTTCTGGGTCTTTTCCTTGTGAATTAGAAGGGAACAGTTATACCACTTGGGCGATTTTCTACCGCTGGTGATTTACGCCCAGTCATTCACGGTACTCTGGCATGGTCATGGCAAAGATTCCCATGAAAGAAGGTCAGGAATGGTGGCCTGTGTCCCAGCTGCTACACACCCTCCGCCCTCTACCTTCGGTTAGAGTACATGTGCGTCGTCGTTAATCTAAAGTGGTATCCTGAAGCTTAGAGCGCAGACAGCCTGTAGGTAGCGCGAGATGATGGAGAATAACGTCTTCCGAAACATTCAAAGGACTTATCGGGGGGGGGGTGGCTCGAGGGATGGCTATTACTATGAGCCGAAAGATTGTGACTGGTTAGGTCACAAGTGGTCCTGCATTCCTCACTGACAAAGAGCGCAGCGAAAATTCCAAAAAAAAATTCCAGAGTAGTAGTTAATGGACTTGCTGGCCGCTGTGCTCTGACTGACCTTGGCAGGAGCAGCGCGCTGTTTGTCGTGACCCGCGTGTTCAGCGTTGGTAGTACTGCTGCGGTCTTGTCATGGCGGTTTCGGGATGTGGTCTTAAGAGTTAAGCTCAGGCTCTATGGCTAAATACCGTATTGCTAAGATTATTCGCTGGCCCTGGAGTTTCGTGAAGTATTGGTATGTATGGAAACCTCAGTTTTACCACCAAGACTTATAGTCAGCTGTGAATGAAATTGACTGGGAAGAGTGTTGGTTCCAAATTTGTGCTAGACGGCGGAATAAGGAGTTGTTCCCTTTTGTGTGAAGTTTTTTTGACTGATTCAGTTAGTAACAGTTTTGAAAGTGTTATCGTTTACTCTGGAGTTTTTGGGGGTGGGAGTAATGGCGCTAACGTATTTGTATGGGCGCCACTCCGCTGCGCATCTAGGTCTCTTCCACCGTACAGGGTAAGGCTAAGAGTGCAGGCGATTAGGGTCGATCGGTGATCAACGTTGCTTCGCACAAGCAGGCAGAAGTATCTTAATGAAATCGACCATTTTGCGCCCCGACCCTAAGCTTCAGCTTAGCTGGGGAAAAGAAGCAGAGGCGCTGTAGGGTACCGTCCCATTACGTTGGCGTCGGAGTAACCCTCCAGAAATAAACAGATATTAGAGCTTTACAGCATTATTTCAAGGTTTCTGCATTTTCAGTCAGTTGTTGGCATGATCTCACCTGCAATGGCTTTATGGACTAGCGGTGGTATCCTTTTTTGGCTCGGATTCCCGTTCTCGAACATTCTTACCGTTGTTCCTTTCCTTGTCGTCACTATAGGCATCGACGATGCTTTCCTGATTCTTGCTGGATGGCGACAGTCAACGTGAGTGTCTTGGATTTCATTTGTACCTCATTAGTTGTCCAGTTTTGTGCTCTGAAGTAACCTCTAAGGTGTTGAAGGAATCAAACCTGAAGGCATCCACTGAGTCCTTTTAAGGCAACAATTTCAGGAAAGGCGCCCCCATTGAACAACGAATGGCAGAATCTATTTCTATTTCTGGCGCTTCTGTTACCGTAACATCTGTCACAGGTGAGAGAGAATTTTTGGTAACGCTTCTGAAGATTGATAGTTTAAATCACTGGTCACTGCCACTGCCTGGTCATGGCGCTTCGGGTAAAAAGATAAGTAAAAGTGAAACTGCAGCAGACCTGCTGCAGCTGGAGATAGGCCATTTATTCCAGACTAATGGCAAGAGAGTACTTTCGGAAAACATCCTTTATTTTCGGCTGTCTGGACAACCCACAAAAACGGCCTAACCCTAACGGAACCGTGAATAACCGGTTCTCTCGACTCATACTCATTCATAGCCAGCGGTTTATTTACAGCTATTGAACCAACAATAAATCTAGTCTCAGATTACAAGTAGAGTTCGGAATGAGATGGTGTTCTGGAGCAGTTTCGCGTGATGGGGTGGGCAGCGAGTACTGTTAATTACTGTAAAGCTGTGCAATAGAGCAGAGGGTTTCATTTATAGAGCAAGGGGTTCATTTACACTAGCGAGAGTTCACAATCCTCAACAAGGTAAGGCGCGTCATTAATTAGGAATTAGCAGAAGAAACTCGCGAAAGGTGTAAAGACCCTCCCTGTCCGCCTAAACCGAACAGCGCCGGTTTTGTTCAGGAGTAACCCTGAAGCGGCAATCTGGTGAAAGGTGACGCACATCGCAAATAAGCCCTTCACGCCGTTTGGGGTCAGCTAATGAACCCGGGAAGGCAAAGCCACACTAGCCTGTACTTGGGCTGCCTCACAAGTTATTGCTTTCTCCATTTAAACCCTCAATGACCTCTACAATCCTGAATGGAAGTAGAATGTGTAGCACATCCCAAATGGGAGTTACCCACACCAAAAATTCCGGCACATTTTCATACGGCCCTAACTTCAACACAGGCGCCAACTTAGAAGTATTATACAAGGTCAGTGAAGCTGGCATAAACTCCCGTTCATTTTCTTATATATTTCTGTGAAGTCCAAATTCCGCTCAATAATCGCACTCCATGACATGTAAGGCGAATCGATTATTGATCCGTCGAGTGCGCTAATAGATAATACAATTTCGAACCAGAGGCATACGATTGCAAGTCACGAATAAGAGGATTTAGCAGCGGGCTAAGCGGCTGGGATCATAAAGACGGCTTTGCCGATGGCCGATGATGGACGCCACGGGGAGGGACATCATGGGGATCGACTGGGGACAGACATGAAGCACACAGAAAACTGATCATCTTAATAGAGCAGCAATATTTTTCGCCGGGTTTTTTTTTTTTTCATCCATTGTAAAATTGAATGCTCTGGGTATTTGGCCAACCAATAAAATGAAACGGTCGCAGACAAGAAGGGCGTCTGACCATGGCTAGGCTTATGGCTGTGCGTGTTTCTTGTTGTGTGTCTGTAGCGTCTTATTGATTCTATTATACATTATTTATAGTAATACTTTTTATTATTACAGATGTTCTCTGCTTTGCTATTGGTCTGTTCGCCAACATGCCTGTGGTTCAGCTGTTCTGTTTGTTCACCACAGTTGCTCTATTCATGGATTTTGTCTATCAGGTAAGATTTCCCGGTCACCCATGGTCACCGCAAGCCGTAGAATCCCCTGAACTACTGATTTAATAAAACACATCCTGTTTTCCAGCTGACCTTTTTCTCGGCCATGATGAGCTTCATCGTTCGACGTCAGATCAGGCTAGATGAGAAAGCTAAAGAGCGAAAAATTCAGGTAATATTTGTTCGCGCCATGGTACATATTTTGGGCTTGAAATAGTGGCCAGATATATTGACAGCAGTTAGTCCTTTTGTATTTATTGACTATTCAAAGTATGTGACTTGCCGTAAATGTGCTACAAATAGATCAATTCGAACAATGTTAGGGTGTAATCCTACATGAAAGGTCACCATTGTTGTAGAGCTGAAGGGCAAAGTCCACGTTAATCGCGTGGGCGGAGTCATACCCCCATTTTTTTTTGCTGAATCTCAGGTGGTACACAGGTTCTGCGGATTCGTAGGATCATGCTAAATGATTTCAGAGTTTGGCTTATTCATTCACAAGCACAATTGCTCTCATCGGCGGGGTTAGATCTAATCATCACCACCTGCCCCATCGCAATTGTATGAGGAGGCGTAGAAGAGGGAGCAGGAGCAACGGTAGCTCTGTCCGTCCATTCGTCCACACAATCAGGATGTAATTAAGCGCTGAAATGGTAGTAGCGCTGTTTTCGCGGGTGGGCAGTGGACGGATCGGCATTTGTTCTGGAATCCCTTATATAATTTAGACCCAGAATGGTGTGCGTGAGTCTTTTCCATAGTGAGGAAGCTTTTCAACTGCCCCACCTACTTCCTCCATTGATGCGTGTGCTTTAAAGCCCCTCCTACAATCTCTGTGCGTACACTGGGATCTCATTATCACACCATTGGTGATAGAATAAGGGATAAGATACAGAAAGGTGTCTCGTCTTCTAAAGTCTGAAGATATAACTCAAAAATTAGTAGTGAATATTGGACTTTTCAAACATTGACTGATTTCAGGACGGAAACCCATCAATGAATTCAATAGGTGACAGTACAAAAGCGAAATTCGGTGAAACGATGGTATTTTCGATTATGCTTCCCTCATTCACCGCACCACCACAGGAGATTAAGCGCAAGAAGAGCCGTCTGAGATCTTTGTCGATTTTCTTCAAACGAAAACCGCTCAAATGGTCATTGCTGATCTTCTCGCCCACGTTGGGGTAAGACTTGTTTTTCAGAGAACTACTGGTTACTACTTTCCACTCTTTTTCTTTATGACCTAAAATTCTATAGTAGAGAGTGTAGGTATACCGAAAAAGTAGATGAAAACACGACACGACATTCCGGACTCACTTGATGTTTTTCTCAGTAAGGCACTTACCTGGCCACTGAAGTGAGCACCGACTTAACATGGAAAATCTCTACCTGGAAGGATCACCTCTTACGGACATTTCGAGGCAAATGCAGGTAATCCTACAATTCCTTGCATAGTTGTTTCAATTTTATATTTCCGGCTGTGTCCCACACCCTTACATATGGTCTTGATCCTTCCACTTTTATTTCTGTCATACTGCTAGTGCGTAGTGAGGTTTGACGGAGTTTTGTATTACCATTAGTTCCCTCTTCTACCTATTGTGGGTTGTTGCTATATTAAAGTCAGTTAGCACGATAAATCCCTAAAAACGAGTAGGATTGATACGCCCGGCAGAGGGCCCTATCAAGCTACAACATTTCGACCCAAACGCCCGCCACGCCCGCCCGCCCACAAATGGACGACCTTACCAGATGCTCGTTTTGCTTCATTTGCTGAGTAAAGCGAAGGATTAGTATGAAGCGGCTGCGGTGCTGAATGGATATATGAGTACATACATGAAGCCGTACCTGCCGGAGCGGTTATTTGCAACACGCCTACGGGAAACTCGTCCGAAATTGCTTTTCAAGAACGAAGGCTTTTCTTCGCAGTTTTTGACCGTTTCACTTCGTTTTTTCGCCATTTTCCCACTAGATAGCGCCCTGCTAGCATTTCAGGCTGAGTACCAGATTATCGTGCTAACTGCCTTTAACTATTGATGCTGTAACATTGTAAGGGTATATGCTGTTAGACTACTCACTATGACAAGATTAGAGTGAACGAAGCACAGGAAAACATCGATTGTAGCTAGTTTTGAAAATTTTTTCAAAGCTTCATCACACCAACCTACAGGTACCTCCTTGTGGTGTTACCGTAGCTGAAACCTGGGATGCATCGAGGCACCTTACTGCCACACCCGGAGGAATTATTCCATTACAGTTTCCACGGTAGATAGACGGACACGCTCGGTCACATTCTGAAACAAGAAAACTGGTAACACCAAAGTTGGTGCCAGTTTTCGACAAATTCCCTGATTTTGGCCTCCAGTTTTACCACCTTTTTTCATTTCGGCCTTTCTCTTTTCGGAGCTTTTTTCGGAGTCCAAGGGCTGACAAACCTATACGCATTGAGGGTCTTGACTCTACATGCGCAAAAAGGTATTTACATGTACAAATATTCTTCTCTATGGACTCATTAAAATTATCGACCGAACTGAACGAATACCTAATCAGTCAGTGGAAACATGAGTTGCTCCTTCTGTGGTTATGGTTCCTTCGATCTGAATTTTTTTCGAGCCTAGAAGACCAGGACATTCGTTGCATACGTGACTGGAAT